ATGACTGTATATAACTAACGTCGAAGTCATACCCATGTCCATCAGTACATCACGTAGCTTGGAGGTTATGGTTGTTTTCATCATATGAACCTTTGCCGAAAACGTTCAGTCTAACTTGTAAAGTTTCCGTTGCGGTTATCAGTGCTTCAGTTGATCTAGACAGGTAAATTTATCCTACAATTATATTGTCTACGTCATTTTATGCGAGCTGTATACAATTCTCAACCTGCTCGAATGGGTTATCAGACAATTTATGGAACGCACTAGTGGTCTCAGTTTGAATGAACGTATATATCTTCCCATAACTTATAGTTTAGTAAGAAAAAATTGTGCTAACTGACTTATCTCTATCCTTCTTCGCAATCTGACATTATCCGCAGCAAAAATATTGTTGAAACCAAAGTAAAGTACCTCATAAACCAAGTTGTGCTCTGACTAATAAATAATTCCTCTGGAGTTGAAGTAACAATAACAGAATACGTTACATTTTCTATCAGTTTAACAATTATTCCAATTGGGCTAAGTGGTTCCTCTTCCAATTTTATCCCTATTCTTTAAGCGTCAGAGGATGAATGCGTTCTCACCAAAACACAACCAGCTATTATCTCGAGGTTGAACATTCAGAGCCATAGGGTAACTAATATGAAAAAAACGGTTAATGACCGTAGAACCAATTACTTGTAGGCAAAAAAGATATTTCTGACGAAATAACGGTATCATTATGTTGTCAAACGAAAGATCAATTCAGTCAACTTAAGCGGTAGCAATCATGTTCAACCTATGAACATAACAACCTGCAGAATATCGAGTTAAATAACGTAAAGGAGAGACCATATAAATAAAATGGAACATCATGAACGCCGAAATAGCGTGTAAAATCAATGGCAGTAATATCTTCTACAAAGAAGATGAACGTAATAAACAACCAAATTACCGAAAATGATGATCTTGCGCTTTTAGTGTTATGAAAGATCAATGTCATTTGCACTTTAAACATGGAGGGGTTGTAAAATCATGATCTGCTTCATTATTAGTGATGATATGATAGTATATCTAATCCTGGACTAGCAGAATTTTCATGATGTAACTACCTAATCTATGAGATCATACGTGGAAGTCACATCATTACCTATTCTGACTCGTCATATCGTAAAATCAGAAATATAATGTTTGGCGTTTTTAAAGAACACAATTGAACTACAGATAGAACGATATATTTCATATGAACAAAAGAAATACGTTACGCAAGAATGACCACGCCTGCAAGGCTTAGTCATGGCATCCTACTGAGTGTATTAGATCTTCCCGTATACCATTGCTGACCTCTTCATGTTAATTGTTGAATATAAATCTTTTCAGTAATCATATGCTCGGCTTCAAATGTTGTGTGGTTAGGAACAAGAGACACTACAGGATTTTCATACAAGAAGTGTGTCTCAATGCCTTAATACAAATATGTATGGAATCATTTTAAATTATCCGTCGTTTTATTTCACAATATTGGGCTTGAAACTATGATTTCCATATCAGTGAAGGTGAATGATGTAAAGTAGACGATGGAACTGAGTTTCCTCTACATGTCACTTGCTTTTCTTGAGGTTGTCTTGGTTTACATAAGATTAAGCACACTTTTATTTTAAGGGATCCTATGTTCGATAAACAACAGCGAAAATGACTCGCAGTTCTGAACAATACCACCCGTTATTTTTAGAAAAAACACGCATTTTGTCATCATCGACTGACACTCCACGTGGTTTAAGGATTTACAGACCGTTAATGTAAATGATTTGTGCCTGTAATTGTAGTTTACTTCAAATTGGTGTGACGTTTTGGTTTACATCCACGTTACACCGCACGCTTAATGCCTAATGCAGGTTACCCTTTTGTGATATTCATGTACAGTGGTTATTTGGAGGATGTGAGAACCAGGAGAGGAGCTGATATAGCATCAGATCATCATTTGCTGGTTGCCAAGATGAAACTAAAACTTTGGAAGCACTGGACAGCGGAACGTACAACATTACAAAAGCTTAATACGGCTTTTCTTCGGGATACTGACAAGATCAACAAATTCAAGAAGACCCTCAACAATAGGTTCCAGGCCTTTCATGATCTACTCATTGAAGAGGAAACTACCATGGAAAGCAACTGGAAAGGAATAAAAGGGGCAATCATTTCAACATGTCAGGAGGTTCTGGGCCACAAGAAGCACCATCACAAGGAATGTATCACTGTTGATACACTGGATAAGGTTGAAGAAAGGAGGAACAACAAGGCAGCAATCAATACCAGCCGAACAAGAACAGAAATAGCCAAGGCACAAGCCGAATACATAGAAGTAAACAAGCAAGTGAAGAAGAGCATCAGAACCGATGAACGTAAATATGTGGAGGATTTAGCAGTGACTGCGTAAAAGACTGCAAGAGAAGGAAACATCAGACAACTGTATGACACAAAAAAGAAACTCCCTGGAAATTACCGTAGACCAGTGAAAAGCAAGGAGACACTGAAAGCAGATGTATCAGTAACCGAAAAGATATTCCACATCCTCTTCAGTAAGATTTGGGATGAAGAACAAGTACCAACAGACTGGATAGGACTTCTGATCAAGATACCAAAGAAAGGCGATCTCAGCAAGTGTGATAACTACAGGGGCATCACTCTTCTCTCAATACCAGGAAAAGTCTTCAACAGGGTATCGTTAACCAGAATGAGGGACTCCGTAGACGCCCAACTTCGAGACCAACAGGCTGGATTTCTTAAGGATCGATCGTGTACAGACCGAATCACAACTCTACGAATCATTGTGGAACAATCAATTGAATGGAATTCATCAGTCTACATCAACTTCATTGACTACGAGAAATCATTTGATAGTGTGGACAGGACAACACTGTGATGGCTTCTTCGACACTACGGCGTGCCTGAGAAGATAGTCAATACCATACGGAATTCCTATCATGGATTAAATAGTGAAATCGTGCATGGAGGACAGTTGACAGACTTGTTCGAGGTAAAGATCGGTGTCAGGCAAGGTTGCTTACTCTCAATTCCGCATGTGACCTCGATAATTGAGCATGTATTGTCCCCAATCCTTATATCAAAAGAAGCGTTTACTGAAGTGTCAAATTATGCAGAAGAACAGTTGTCCTTATAGTTTCTGTGATGGGTAGCAACGTTATAACCCTGACATCCCCCAAGCAGGTAGTTTATATAATCATTTTATCACACATGTCGATGTCCTAGAGAATTCAATCAGGCTATGACTGGATGAGATCTCTCTGGCTTAGTCGCGCCTTCAGAGAACCATACCAAATGTGAGAAACGGTTCGAAACAAATTACTATAGTTATTCAACTAATAATTGTTCAACAAACTCAATCAAGTCACTTCGAAAGAGCAAATGTTCTTGATAATATAAGATTATCTCTTCTGGATAGATCACGTACAGCTTGTTCAAAAAGTAATATTTAAATTTGTTACGACAATGAGCACTTAAATTTCTGGAGACCTGCTCCAATTCAAAAAGCCCCCAAATGCCATCGTACGGCAGAGAGTGGGGAGAGTCCGCTCTCCCTCTCCAAATGCTCTCACATGGCCACGCGTATATAGCCTCTACCAGGGAAGTCCTACTCACTGCCTTCTCACAGTGACAGTGTTGTTTACGAAAGTGAGAGGGCGAAAAGCGAATGTCCGGCGCTTCAACTGGGTTGGTGGACACGGAAAGTCCATCTAGGGGAGTTGGAAAACCCTGATTCCAAACCAATGACGCACATGGGCTCCAGTATCCTGAGGGAACAAATGGCGTACGAATCAATCGTTGGTCACCGGCTACCATGGGACTGCATCTCGTCACGATGCTCCTCTGCCTTGTGGGTCAGGTCTTTAGGTCAAAGGCTGTGGCCCCCTAAGAAAACCACCTGCTTCAATCTGGGCACCTGGGCAGTATCACAGCCTGCACACAAATCAAATGAGAATTTGTGCGGCGCATATGTATTCGGTGCCTCTTTGTAACAATATTTGTGTTCAAATAAAAAAAATAAAAAGATAAAAAAAAATGCAAGAGAAACGATTTAATATGACAGCCGTCAGAGCCCAATTAGGCAACATGATGCAGTTCGTGAGAACCATAGGAATTCAGTAGGAACGTAAAAAAAGTAAAAGTTACGTTGGAAAATAAATGTTAGCTGTCTCACCTAGGATCTAAAGATAAGAGTATACGGGTGAAGGATTCGAGAAAAATAAACACTAAAAAGTAAAGCAACACATTACATTAGTATATGTAGGTGGAGAACGTCCATAAATATCCACACAAACCTGTAGAGAGCATCTCACAGTGTGTATTTAATACCTATCTTTACATTAAATCAGTACTACTGTGGTATGGGCTACTTATATCGACATAAGTAGTATATAACGTGAGTTAGGAATAGTATATCTGACAGATGATTGAGAAGTGAAGAACAGGAGAAGAAAGCAATTAGTGTGGAAATCCAGGAATAATGAAGTTTCAGACAATCAATAAACATTTTGCAAATGGAGTATGGTTTTTGTATTTTATCAAGCAACTTTGTAATTTGTGCTAAATATATAATCGGTTGTTCTCATTCACTACACTACCATTCCCAACAAATTACTTTATTTTGGATATTTCGATTGGTGCGTGCCACTGATTAAATCTTGGATTTTACGGACTCTTGGGATCCTAAGGGTTTTGCGCCTGTTCAAAGGAATTAATTCTCATTAAAAAGTTGTCTTACCTTTAGCCACTTGAAAATTCTACACCAGTTGCGGCCTACTGGTTCTCGGAACCGATCATGTCCCAGTGTCAACCTGACAAACACCTGTGACATCCTATCTATTGAATTGATTAGGAGTTTGCCACTGCGACTACCTAAAACTGACTCCGATGCGTCCCAGCGGAGTGGTAACTACGTGATTTAGCATTATTCCTAGAGAGACTATGATGTTTCCCGAAACTGCTTGGAGTTTTTCTATAAATAAGGTGCTATAAATATTTTTATTGATTTCTCACTAGACAACCCAGCCACTTTTGATTAGAATTTACAAAATATAAATAAAACAAGTTTGTGATGCTGAAAAGTATTAGATACATATAAATGACGGTTAAGATATAAAGGAAATTCAGAAAACTACAAATTACTGGTTATTAGCAACAGTCGTCTAATCACATATTACAAAATCAAAAATATTTTGATAAGATATTGAAAAAGAAAAAAATATTGACGTCATTTAACAGACAGAACTTAAAACTGTATCCTGATACTAAACAGAAACCAAAGGAATGAAGAGGTATGAAAATAACAATCTTGAGAGGAAGAGATGATAAAACAAGAAACTATTGAGAACATGAGTTTATGAAGTTTGATATACTGTCGTTACTACTGAAAAGTATACAAACACGATCAATATCACATTTTATGAGCCAAAAAGCCAAATCCCAACATAGACGCTCGTCGTTGCCACATACAATTAGGAGCCCAGGTGAAGATGGTGTTACTGTATTGACTGGTTCCTTAGTGACACCTTGACTTGATTTAATACTTAATAACCGTCTAGCTTGTGTTGTTTGATGCCAGAGTTTTTGATTTATAAGAAAGGCTAAAAACTCTGGTATGATTTGTGGTCGATTACGATTGCCACTTGGATAATCAATCACTTCCCAGTTTTCTGGAGCAAAAGTATTGTTATAGTCAGTGGTAGTTGAAGATATATCATTGTTTTCTTTAACTCCTATTGATGAAGAATCTAGCATTACTGATCTGGAAACCTCACAATGAATACTGTTAGGCAAATGAAATCTGAAAAAAAAACGATTTCTTGGATAGATATTACACAATTATAACATCAAGTGTTTATTGAACAGCCAATAATTTGTCTTAACATATAAAATTGGGATTTGATTGAATAATCTATAAAGTTAGGAAAGAGAATGCCGGATACGTAAATCAAATCTGTTTAATTTAATTAGCAGACAAGGTCTATGATTTGCGTAGTACTCATCTTTACATTCAGGGTATTTTTAACAGTTAACAACTAATTTTATTAGCATATGAATCGATTTGCTAATTTATAAAGTGGCTAACAGACTTATTAATATTCGTCAGTTCTCCAATTTCTATGTCTATAATTAAATTCAAAGCGTAAATTTTACACACTTTCTTTTATACTTCTATGGAAAAACTGATATCACAAATCGAACAAACGACCAGAAATTACTGCGAGATTTTATAATCCAGAGAATTCCAATACAGACAAGAAATTAAATTGAATTGAGTAAGACTATTAAAGTTATACACCGTATTCCGCCAAATTTACTCTATAGTTTAAGGACTGTTTTGGAAAGTGCTGAAGCTATCAGAATGTATATTAAATAGCCCAACTGTTGTACATAGAAGAAATTTGCATAACACCCTTCTCTACCTTCGACATCGACATGTAAGAGTGTTTATATATATATATATATATATATATATATATATATATATATATATATATATATATATATATATAATACAGTGGATCATACACATTTGATCGACTTTAAAAAGTTTGATATTTCTTATTTTGCATTCCATGTTCAAAGTTTATCTATCGTCCTATTTAATTTCACTTTTCCATCACAGCTACCATTATTAGATTTACTTCCATACGTCAACTGCTCAATGTCTAAAATTCCTCTCAGACAGTGTGCTTAAAATGAAATTTTTAACACTCATTCATATAAAAGTATCTATGTGGTAGTGTGGTGTACGTTGTTTATGCTGACAGTAGTATGTAGCAGTAATCGGAAGTGTAAAGCTTGCCAGAAGAAATTTGAATTGAGAAGAACATGAAAAGGAAACAGAGAACAACTGGAATAACAACAAAATTGTAGGAACCATGAAGTATATAAAGGACAACTGATGGAAGATGTGCAAATAATGTATTTAATGTACGATTTTCATATTTTACGAAGGAACTGTGTAATTTTGCACTGAAAAACAAATTGGAGTTCTCGTTCTCTACAGTGGTTTATACAAACAAACAAAGTCTAGTTTGAGATCTACAAAAACCTATAGACGTCATAGATGAAAGCTGTATGCTTCGCTCGTTTAATAAAGTAAAGAGATTAACTAATTACATTTTAAATATCTTTCTTCAATAAAATTGTTGTATCTAGCTGTTTTTCGGCTATCTTTACGTTCATTTAGTGAGTGTTCCATATTGGAGTTTTATTTTCACTAAGGATTTCTTATCACCTATGGAGATTTCTATAACTGTTTGATATGAAGAGGTCAATGTGGTACAGTCCAGCGTGCAGAGTAAAAGTCGAAAACTACTAATGAAAGCAACATTATAATATGCAACATTTACCCCCTAAATGAAAGTGCTTGAAAAAAACAGACGTATTGATCACCGAATATGTTGCAGATAACTTCAGTCTTATTTGATCAAGCAAATTACAGAGTAAATCACTTCTAGCCACTTTTAATTTGATTCCTACTGACTTAAACCAGTTAATTTCCTGAAGAATAACGTTGATCCCCTTATTTCATATATGACCGAATTTATGTAAAAATCGAGTTTGAGACAGTAGCACCTTTTCTACTTTGATTCTTTTTTTCTTTCTGTTAAGTTTGGTATAAAACAGTACGGATTATTTATACACAACTAAAATATTATTTTATAGTTCACACCACGGACTGAGCTAAGTCAAACAACCACTGAAAAACAAAAAGCATTGAGTAGCCGTTTTGTCATAGTATGGATCTCAGCAATCTCGTTGTAGTTTCTGATATTCCTTTTATGTTTGGTAGAGTGATCCGTTTGTTGGTTTCCGTACTTGACTTTGTTTCTGATGCTGAGCTCGGTCGAGTTATTTTACACACACCAAAAAATCGCTACAACTTTGTGCTGATGTCGTTCACAAGAACGACTTAAGCTCGACGACCAAACTATCCAGCTCACAGAACAAAACTCCATTAAAATCATCCACCTGAGCTACAAATCTTCACCACCTCAATGGATAAGCTGATTAAAAAAGGAAAATTCTAGAGTCTCTTTACGTTAAACATTAATATCTAACTACATTCTCGATAAAGAAACATGGACCATATTGTCATAATCAAAAATAAGTGTTTGCTTTATTACAGTAACTCAGTAACCAACTATAGAATTAATTCTGAGTACTTGGCTTTAACCATATTAATTTCCATGTACGTATGAGTGCCAGGGATGGCAATACTACTTGACGACAAAACGAAAATAAACAGAGAATGATTCCAATCTTTAATACTGTTGTGATGTTAGTGCTTTTTAATCATTTGATACCCTTGTGTTTATTTATCCGGTCAACAATCAAGCACCAGATGATGACCAAAACAAAAAAGCATCACGATTGATTGATCACTGGGTGGTGACCAATGTCATGCATGTCAAGTCATTCTTAGTGCTGATCGAATGCTATCGGTCAAGTTGTAATGTAGCCACCAGTCTAGGTGGCTCGACACTGCGTGCACTATATATATTGAGGTAAGATGGTGGTTGGAGGTGGTCAACAGGAAACCATGGACCTGGGTTTCGTGCTACTTGGCACTCGTCAGCAAGGTGTAACTGTAATCTTGAGGGAACTGATGCTCCCTGGCGGATTCGATCCCGTGTCACTCAGCTTCACAGTCAGAGACGTTACCACTGAGCTATTCGGGCGGCTACCAACCTCCTGTAGGACTGAGATGTAATCACGATTGATTGATCACTGAGTGGTGACCAATGTCATGCATGTCAAGTCCTTCTTAGTGCTGATCGAATGCTATCGGTCAAGTCCTACAGGAGGTTGGTAGCCGCCCGAATAGCTCAGTGGTAACGTCTCTGACTGTGAAGCTGAGTGACACGGGATCGAATCCGCCAGGGAGCATCAGTTCCCTCAAGATTACAGTTACACCTTGCTGACGAGTGCCAAGTAGCACGAAACCCAGGTCCATGGTTTCCTGTTGACCACCTCCAACCACCATCTTACCTCAACACAAAAGCATATCCAGAAAAAGTGCGAAAATGATATAAGTGAAAATATATTATAGGTACGAGGCAATCAAAGTTGAGTAAATGGCTGTTAGGCATTTTGCGGTCAATTCGAAAGTGAATGACTTTCACATCATTTCCAGCACGATAAGCGATATAAATACTATTGTATAGTCCTCTAAACATTAAAATGAAAACGAAATAGTAGGTTTCTTACCATAAAGTGAAAGTATTAGTAATAAATGTATCAAATCATCAATTCTTGCTATGTATGTACTTTTCAAATGAACTCTATGCCTAAATCCTAACTGTAAACGCGTAATCATGACATAAACCTTAAATCTCTAACCCTGAACGCATAGTGCTAAAACTTAAACTCCAATCGATGTAGCTACAAAGTAATACAGCATTATGTCAGTATTTGACTAGAAAAAATTCCTAAATCTTAACATCAATTCCTAACCCAAGAACAATCTAGGAACGCCTATATATCATTTTAGGTCTTTAAAAGAGTTCGAAGATAAATATTGTATATCTGTATGAAAAAATTCATATAACATTTTTTGATAATTTGTAAACAGAAAAACCTTTAAAGGATTTCAACAGAATCATTATTTATGCAAAATTCGTCTAACATTTATGACATTATTGCTTTGTTTTCCTGAAAATAACCATTGCCTAAGAGCTATTTTCTGATCGATTAAGAACTGGCTGAAAATTCATCACAGTTATTTTTTGGCTCATCTCTACAAACTTTACTATAGACAATGCCTGCTTATAGCCATTATTGAATCACTGTTTAGTTGCATGATACCCATTGGTTAATGAGCTATAACGTCGGAACACGCATATATATATATATATATATATATATATATATATATATATATATATATGAGCTTGGTTCAAGTTGCCATAACTCATTAGCACAAAAAGATCAACACTAAGTCCATAGAAGTGGTTACTTCAGTGACAGTAATATATAGAAGAAAGATTTTGTATAAGGATATAATAAAGGGAGAAAGCATTAGTTCTTAGAAATAAAGGTATAAAGTAACCTTAATCTCATGGTTTAAGGGGAGACAAAAAGTGTATACATCTACGCCATTATGATCGGTCCTGAGCCACTTCACACAGAGTCTGCAACCATTAGTTACGATAGTCACGTGGACCCCAACCAAGTAGTCTGCATCTACCAACACAGCTCATACTAGAAGTTAGTGACTTCAAGCGCTGATGCTAAGTTTTCGTTGGACCGCCTCTAACTCTTTTCCAACCATTCCCAATACTAGTCAGCATTGAGCGTCGTGGTAATCGGTGTTCAGGCAAAAGTGACACGTGGCCCAACCATCTCATTTGATGAAGTTTCACAACCTCGTCAACCGATTTACCATCATTCCCTAATGCTCTGTGTCTAACCTCACTATTACTTACTCCGTGACTCCAGCAGATGCGAGCAATATTTTTAAGACATCTGTGGTCAAATACTAGTAACTTACAAGTATCTTCTACGCTTAATGGTCACGTTTCGCAGCCGTAAAGTAGAACAGAACGAACTGCCGCACAGTATACTCGTCCCTTAATTGATAGACGGATATCTCACCTTCACCATAGGTAGCGTAAGTTGGCAAAAGCTAAACGAGCTTTTTATATCCATGTACAGATTTCGTCAGAACAGACTTCCAAGATAAGTGAAGTTGTCGACGCGTTTGACTACTTCACTCCCTATTCTTAGTTCAGGTGTTGACGCAGGCCAGTCCTGGAGTAACAATTTACATTTAGAGGGGGAGAACTGCATCCCAAACATCCTGGCATTATTACTCAGTGCTACCAAAAGTCTGCATTTTATAAGCGTCTTAACCAAACAGGACTGCGTATTCTAAGTCGATAAGTGGACCTCCTGGAAGGATATCAATTGCTGAAAATTCAGAAGACGAGAACGTTATTTCCAGCAGTAGGTCTATGATGAAATTGAACAAAAATGGAAATAGTGGACATCCTTGCCGGACACCACTTGAGGTTGCGAAATAATACCCATAGAATATTATGATTGAAAGTTAAATGTTATAACCATGTAAATCAATGTTTCATATTTTGGAGAAATAAATAAGAATTTATGATCAATATCAAACAGAATACATTAATATATCACTAATGAAAATAATTAATAGAAATATATTATAGAAATAAGACATTATTTATTGAATGCTTACTTATTATATTCTTTGATATTACGAACATCTAAAACTAGACAATCCGGACGTTTGATATGCACCACGGCATCTTTAACACTGAGCAATGGGACTAATTTAAAAGCATTAGACGATATATTTAGCTTTTCACAAACATTTGATGCAACATCGATATCAGAGTATTCTAATGATTCTGTGAAATCATATTCTAAATGATCTGGCCATGCATTCTGTGATGTTAAACGCTAATTTTTTTAAAAAAAAACAGGGATATGACTGTAAATCAACAGAATTTGATTGATTAACAAATTTATTCATTGTTTTAGAGACAAAAGTATTACTACGAATAACAAGATAAGAACATGACGAAAAATTAGCAGCCTTACATGACAAAACCATAAAAAAAGATAAATTAACTATTCATTATATGTGAAAAAATTATATTTGAAATAGTCTCAGCCATTGAAATTTAAATAATTCCAACGTTTCGTCCAGCTAACTTGTCTCGACGTCTTCAGGGAAATAATCAAATTCAAAAACATCAAAGAAATATATAGTGTTTTTACAATCATATCAAAATCTCTAATACTTTTTAATCCAATCATATTTGGATGTCGAAGTTTTTGTAAACAGGATAATATGAGACAGTTGAATGAGAATCAAGTGAAAAGTTCAACGATGTGAATTAAAGGAGACTGCATAAATTGTGTGTATGTATGTATGTGTAAGATGAGTTATTAATGAATGATATTCAGTGTTGAAATGTTTCTAAGTGAAGTAAAATAGGAATAAAAGTGCAAAATGAAGGTTGATAAGTTTTTCTCCTTTCTGAATCATCGAAGTTGCAAATAAAATGAGAATCATCAAGTACATAAATTGTAATGTTAAACATAACTCATATTGATTTCAGTCATAATAACGATTCATGTGAAGTAAACAGGTTGAATAAAAGAACAAACGAGCTATAAGATCGTCATTGGTGAAGGTTAAGGATAGGTTACCAAAGGAAGAACAACAAAATATTGTCTATGAGATCAATTGTCATGATTGTAATGCGGCTTATATTGGAGAAACATCCAGACAATTGAAGGTAAGGTTGAAGGAACACAGTGTTTAAAAAACGTTCCCAAAACCTCGGTTGACTTAAAGAAACTTGAGAATAAGTCTGCAATAGCGTTACATGCGTTGGAAACGGGACACATGATTAATTTTGAAGGGGTCAAAATACTTCAGAAAGGTTTCAACACTCACAAAGAAAGATTGACAGCAGAAGCGCTGTATATATGGGCGAATAAGAACAGCCTAAACAGAAAGGATGGTATTCAGCTAGCTACCACTTGGCAAATATTCTTCAGCAAGTAATTTGACCTTTTCTTTTATTCAACCTGTTTACTTCACATGAATCGTTATTATGACTGAAATCAATATGAGTTATAATAATAATTCCTTGAAAAAGCTTGGACCAGATTGCCAGGCGAAACGTTGGATTTAATTTTTAAAAAATTCATTCGCTGAGATTTTACAAATATATTATTCCTATTTAATGTCTTACTTCAACTCGGCGCTCAAATACTGTGAAACTATTCGTTCTAATTTAGACGAGAGTTCTTATACAATATGGTTATGTTTAACATTACAATTATGTACTTGATGATTCTCATTTTATTTGCAACTTCGATGATTCCGAAAGGAGAAAAACATTTCAACCTTCATTTTGCACTTTTATCCCTATTTTACTTCACATAGAAACATTTCAACACTGAATATCATTCAATAATAACTCATCTTACACATATGCATACATACACACACTAAATTCATGCAGTCTCGTTTAATTCACATCGTTGAACTTTTCACTTGATTCTCATTCAACTGACTCATATTATCCTGTTTACAAAAACTTCGACATCCAAATATGATTGGATTAAAAAGTATTAGAGATTTTGATATGATTGTAAAAACACTATATATTTCTTTGATGTTTTTGAATTTGATTATTTCCGTGAAGACGTCGAGACAAGTTAGCTGGACGAAACGTTGGAATTATTTAAATTTCAATGGCTGAGACTATTTCAAATATAATTATTTCACATATACTGAATTCTCTATACTCGGCGCCCAATTATTGTCAAACTATTCGTTCAAATCTTGACGAATATTCGTATAAATTAACTATTGTCAGAAAAAACCAATGTAAGGGGGATATAACCAAGATAGATTTTAAAAATAAAGTACTAATGTAATTGTAATATCCTTGCTACGTCCTTGATCTGTCTACCCACTTTCGTGCCGAGGATAACTTGGCTAATGTAGATCAAGACCTTGACGCGATAGGCTGACTGGCTTAAACTTGAGGCTAGTATGCGTGAGTTCGAAGTGGGATAGAGAGAAAAAAACTATTCTATCACCTGATTGTCTGACAGGCACGCGCGAGAGAGAAGACAAGACAACTGGAACAATACGTGACTTATTCCCAATCCGGATCTGGTACCCGATTTCAGGTTAGTGTAAAAAGATACATGAATAAATAGATGACTAACCCGACCACAACGTACAACAATTAGGAAAATACAATTATGTCCAAAACTGGAGGATTAGAGTAGAAAATAGAATACAAAAGATTACGTTCAAATTACAATAGCTTTGGAACAGAAAGGCTATGGCGGTGAATCATCCACCAATCGAAAGCTTATGATCTGTAGAGTACATTAGGGACAAAAGTAAATGTTACTGTTTCACAAGCTTTCAATTAAATGAAATAACGTCCCCAAAAATAGCTTCCGTAGTTTGTCAAGGCTTCTTGTTTCCCTGTTCACATCAATCCTCATGAATAAAAGATCGAATGTCTGACGACATTTCACTACAGGTCCAGTCCGAAAGGTATAAATCGCGAAAAAAGGACTTTTCACTAGAATAATTACTAAACGAGTAGCTTAATTATTTAACCTCACAATATAATATTAAATGGTTCCTAGGAGAAAAGTAGTTGGTTCATCTTTTGAATGCCCGAAAATGTAATTAAACTTACTTCATAGAAATCAGAAGCTGATGATTCGTTTCGTTTGAAATTCACGTGTTCAACTTTTAATTCCTTATTTTCCATACATTTCTGATTTAAATACTGTCTATTGGGAATCGACCAAGTTGTTAGGCTTCGAGGTGTAGCCAATGCTAATTTTAAAGCATCCGTTCTACATTTATCCAAATTAATATCGGGAAAATTCGACAAAATTGTACAAATCTTTTCTAGTCCTAACAACTACAATAAATTAATCAAATAAGAGCACAATATTCATGTACAACGATTCAAATATAATTAATTGTAGATATACCAATTACCAATTACCACTCGTGAAGCATCTGCCCCCAACCAAGATTCTCCAATTACAGCCTGGGTTCTTCTTTCCAGTCGTAGCTAAGTACTATTCGTCTTTTGATGTTTGCCTCCGATTTCCGGCGCCATGTGTTCTTTGACCTGCCTCTTTTCACTTTGCCTTCAGGATCCCAAGTTAGGGCTCGCCTCTCAGTGCAGTTTGATGATCTCCACAATGTGTCCTATTAAAATCCAGAAACTCTTACTAATTTCCTCTTCATATGGAAGTTGGTTTATCCTCTCCCACAGTAGGCTGTTGCTGACGGTATCTAGCCAACGGACATTGAGTATTTTGTGTAGACAATTGTTTATAAATACCTGTACTTTTTTATGATAGTTGTGACAGTTTTCCAAGTTGCAGCTCCAGAAAACAGAACTGTCTTGTATTGCAGATTTTGACCTCAATTTTGACTGACAGTTGTCTTAAATTCCACATGTTCTTTAACTGTAGTAATTTTTCCCTTGTTTTGTAAATCCATGCCTTCACATTTGCATCAGATCCCCATGTTTATCAATGATACTGTCCCGATACGTAAAATCTCCCACCCCTTCCAGAGCTTCTCCATCCATCAAGTGTGATTGCGTTGGTGTTCGCTGTGTTATATTTGAGGATCTTGCTTTTTCCTTTGTGAATGTTGAGGCCTACTGCTCCAGAGGCTACTGCTACACTGACTATCTTCAACTGCATTCGTTGCTATGTATGGGATAGAAAGACTAAGTCATCTTCGATGTCCAAATCGTCTAGCTGAGTCCAAACTGTCCATTGTGTTCCATGCTTCCCCTGAGATATAAAGGTCTTTATTGTCTAATTAACCACAAACATGTGTTTTGGTTTCCATAATAAGTGTACTAGAAAAATGAGAAACACTTAAACGAAATGAGCACCAAACATAAGCTAACCAGATAGATACCAAGATCCATATGATATAATCACAGCGATCTAAACATAAGAATGTCACTGTTCTTTGCAGTCGATCTTGTTAATGGTGCAGTCGAACAAAATCAGTGAAGAGAGCAGAATTACTCCCATTACATAAACTTAGGCGATAGTTATACATTAGGTAGAACGCGAAACTTGATTAATGTTTCCGTAATTCACTGTAGATAAAATGAGATTAAACATGTACATGGCTTCTTACAAAAGTGACACTACACAGAAAATGGACTGCAACAAAATATAAGTGTTGATAACCTTAAACCAAAGATTAATTGCAGTAGTACAGATGTATTTGCACTTTATTTTCTACTAAATCTTGAGTTCCGATACTCTTCTTTACACACCTTTTTTCATCACTTCCTTTTGAACAATATTCTCAATGTTTAATTTTTCTCACTCTATCACTAATACTACTGTTATTTCAATCCCTTTGTCATTCACCTTGTTAATTTCATGCTATCGTCCTCACGTGGAATGGGATCTTGGGGTGATGTACTTATGTGCTTAGCTCTTCTTGCATTACAACTTAACTGACTGATTGAATTTAAGGCTCAGTAGGCTAATTTCCATAAAATCTCTTCAGCTGAAAACTGATTTACGAATTTGATATTTGTTCAATAAAAAACAGACACGAAAATCAAATCTTATTCATAGTTAACTGTTATACAGCTAATCAACCTAATTAATAAAAAATAATTACCTCAAGATTTATTTGTCTGTCTAACTGAATAAAAAATGCAATATAGAAAAACATTGACAATGAAGCTGGACCAGGTATTATCGTATCCCATAGTAATTCTATACGATCCAATGGCATAGCATGAGCAAATAACGTATAAATCCAACCGGTAGTCAATCCAATCAAAGGTACATTAATATCAACCAGTCGAACAGCTAATCGAGGTACATGAAATGCTAACAATCGTAGAAGGGTATTGAAATATGATTTTAAACCAACAGTGAGACCACCAGAAGAGAAAAATCCTGGTAGCTTTGTTGACAAAAAAGCATTTAAACAAGCAGCAGCCAGCGCTTCATCTGGATAACATATACGCACAAATACAGCAGCTACAGAATCCATACCCTAGAAATTACCGAGAGCCGTAAATAGACATGAGACATAAAGAACAGTGTTCGAAATTATATTTAGAAAATGATAAATTACGGAAAGTGTGAAGCGGTGGCCAAGTGTTTACGATGTCTGACTTTCAGCCACTAAGTTGAAGGTTAGAGCCCCGTGAACCCTTTTATTTTCACTATTGTTACAAATGTTCTTTCCCACTAGTTTGGTATTGTACTAGTAGGCTTTTTATCACCTTATTTCCAAGAACGCTATCGGTATAATTATACGTAATAGTTGCACACCCAGTCAATCTTGTTCGGTAGACCTAATAAATCATAATGTTAATATATGAGTATTCCCATCCGATTATAGCTTGAACTAGGTAAGATAAATTTTCAACACCCACTTTCCATAGCAGTCATCAGAAATATTCGCTCCAACTATCAGCTATCATACATGAGTTCGTGTTTATTCATCGAAGTAATTATTTCATCTAGATGCATAGAAAATGGAGACCACACAAATCCGATCGCCATCTCTATTACTGAATTGATATGGAAACGAAACTACACTATCAAAATGTCCCAGTTTACTATGCTACCAACTCCTGTTTACAGACATCTGAAATTATGTATACAAAAAGTGGAAAAAAAAGTAAGTGGTTTAGCTTGGACATGACTGAGTTGTTGAAAGTCGAATACCTTAACCACGAAGCAAAAATTTACGCTTTATTACGTAGTTACTCGGCCATACTGAACCAAACAAATAAGCCTATCAATGTAAAAGAGAGATGGTTCATCATTTTAAATCAATAAGAATCCTAAACTAGAAGTAATCAACAATCATATAGGAAACTGACAAATTTATTATTTTTAGAGGACATTATATAGATATAGTTGTCTTCTACTCTATCCTTATTCACCTCCTATCCTAAATTTAAACATTTATGTAATATTACCATAATCAATAGCTTAAAAATAAAGGTTGTTAATTAACATTTTCAATGGACCTTTTTAGGAAAATGAGTCAACAAATTGATGTGTAAACTGAATATCTGAAATGCTAAAACAAAATCACTACACACATACATTTAAAATGTCATATCATTAAGAATTTCATTTACCTGAGTATAATCCAATGCACCAGGTTTCATTAATAAAGTCGCTAGCAGAACACGACGAAGTACAGATTGCCCAATAGATGATGCCAACAACGGATCATAAGCATGACAACGTGGCAAATCAACTGATATTTGATTAATGACTTTTTCATCTAAGAGATCACAGCTAAAGTCATTATTATTATTATTATTATTATTATTGTTATTATTATTATACTGTTCATTGCTATTCAATTCATTTGTAGGTGTTACGTCCAAGCCAAACTTGTTGATTTTATGTAATGCCTTCAAGTAAGCTGATTCAAAATCCCGATTAGGATAAACATCGAGTAAAGCAGCCCAAACCTAGGAAATACAATATAAAGTTGATACGGAAAAAACTTTTGTTTTAGTTGTTAGAGAAAATCCAGTGACTAGTTCAACAAATAAGCGAATTCCAGGAACAATTCAGTAAGATACACTGAACAATGTAGGAACTCGACAAACATCAAATGTTAAATAATAATTATTGATAAACATAAGATGTGCAGGGTTTGAACAATAAAGCCAAACGTTTAGACTGGGCAAAATGAGTAGACTAAGAACGTTGAGTACATAAATTATATTTGAAGGAATAAATCAACTTTCGATATTGTTGATCCATCACGAATAAACTGGTTTCGTTCAAATATGAGGTGAGTCAATAACGCGCTCAATGTCTGTTAAGTATTTGTACCACTATGATTTGAATGCTAGAATCTATGATATTAGCTCATTTCGATGATGCACTGGACCATCTAGACGATGCAAATACCAATGCTTTGTTGTCATACTAGTTTAATAATAATTATAACTACTTTACTAAATACTGTAAATTTTGTTACAGTAAGGAGTTCTCAGTACCAAGTCATTCATAATAACATTTTCGTTTTTAATTCCACTTAAATATTTTTATATCATAATTGAGAATTATGACAGCTCAAAATCGATAGGCTGTAACAAATTTTCTTGTTCGTCTGACTCACCTGACAATGACAAGCTATTTAAAGGTTTCAATTGTAAAAATTATCAATATACAAGTGGATATTTCAGTCTGTTGATTTGAAAAAAACAATTTAATGGTAAAGTTACTGATATATTACTGTATATAAACATTGTACATAATTGAACAAATCGGGAACTTTGTAGACCTTAAACAATCGATTGCTAAAAAAGTCTCAACTCTCAAAATAAGCGGAAGATTTTAAATGATGTTAAGGTCATTCTTATAATGCACTAGAATCCAAAGAATTATCTGAACTGACGATAACACAACAAATTTGATATACTTTTAAGAATACAGAAACTGAAGCCGTATAGTACAGCTGTTTTAATTTATCATAAGAGTTCTAGGTAGTCGACACAAGGTAATGAATCAAATGCTTTCAGAATCGATGCAAGTTAGCGACTGCTATGAAGTAGAATTTTATGAACGAATATTTTATTGTTCAGATGAAAGAGTATAGCGATCGGCAAACGATATGCGATGATGTGACTGAGTGATGGCTCTTCACGAGAACAAATTATTGACGTAGGTTACGGTATGATTTGAGATCAACGGCAAGACCATCAAGGCAGAGAAGTACGGTGTTTCGTAAGAAAATAAGATGATAATATACAAAATACTGACAGAAAATATGACTAAAGGAAATCAATGTTGTAGGTGGTTGTTTACTTTCCATCTAATTAAGATCACCGCCATATCAGTGATTGGAGCCAATCAACAGGAAAACTCATTAGCAAAACCTTAAGTTGTGTCAAGGATTGACACAAGTACTAGTTCAACGAGAAGCATCAGTTCCTTCGAGATCCCAGATCTGCCTTGCCTACGGGTGCCAACTAGCAGGAGAACTAGTTCCAGGTTATCTTGCTGTTTCCAACCACCAACTTATATCAAAACATAGTGTACCCAATGTTGAGTTAATTACACTGCTGGCTACATTACAACTTGGTCGATAAGTTTGACCAACACTAAAAACTGACACTAGTTACTACTCGGTGATCGAACAATGAGACTTTAAGGATGGTTGTTAATGCTCAGCAACTACATAGAGAACTTTAAACGAACGATAATTAACAATGTTGAAGTGTCAACCAATATTCAACTCTTATTCAAATAACGATTAATTTTGAAGAAAATTGATACTATAGTATACTATACAAGAACTGTTTACCCAGAATCGGCTTAATGTTGCATTCTTTGTCGTCAGTTAGATCTTGAGATTTGAAATTATCTTTTACTTTTTTATACAGCGAAGTCATTTTTTCTCTAATCGTGTTCACAATGTCTAATCCTCAAAACTATCATCAATACTTTTACGAATTCTACTAACTTAACGTTTGTTCTGATACTTCATATTGGTGTGATAATGTGGTGTGGCAACTTTGACTGATACATATAAGTCCCAGGTTCTCTGTTGCGTAAGTCTGACTGACTTTCCATAGTACGAATAAAAACCACATTTCTAGTTTAATCTTACCTTCCAACGTAAAAATGGTGGTATATCTTTACGAGCTTCTAAACGAAGATATTGTTTAGTTGCGGGTAGTCCATTAATTATCCGTGTAAATAAACGTGTGCGATAAATTTGATAATCTACATCAGTTTCCCTAACTGACAATGGTTGTTGTGATATTGATTCATACTGACTGTTTGTAAATGGCATACTCCAATCAATACCAGTAATACAGGTTAAATCCTTTTTGCATAGTGAATCTAAAAAATCCGAACGTTTTTCAGTTACTTCAAACAATGGTGAATTAGGAATCACTGGTGAACATTCATTTGGTATTGAACTGTTAGATGAAGTATTAACATAATTAGTACTATTATTATTAACTGAGTACAGGGCAGAACAAACATTTGAATTTCCTATGGAACTAATTTTTAAGTCTTGACAAATTAATAGAGGATATAAATTATGAAGAGACGTATGCGATATACGTTCAATAAAGCATTCATTGGGAAGTGGTGTGATTTGGAACCGAAATCTAAAAAAATAGAGACATGAAAAAAGCAAAATAATTTGACAAGTATCAGTAAAGCGGTGTTTGTGAAGATTGTCGAATATTATAGTTTGTATCAACGACTGATCTTAGTTTATTTATTTGAACACAAACATTGGTACAAGGGGGTACCAGATATATATGCGCCACACAATACAATGAGAATGGGAAGAAAAAGGGAGGTAAGGTGTGTATAAGAAAAAGGAAGAAAAAAATAACAACCACATATTAGTGTATGCTAATGTACTAATAAAAATAATAATGGAGACGAAAAGGTACAACCAGAAGAATTCTTCCAGTTAAGCAAGTTACATCCACTTTTTATGAAGAACGTAAAAGAAAGTTACAGCAGGATCGCCACTGTGTTGCACTATCTCTCGGACCCCAAACAGAGAGTAGGGATGGATCAACAGAAACCGGTCCTGCACAGCTTTCTTTCATACTACGACACTATGTCATACACTGACCACCTCTCCGCTTCTTCCAACCAGTCCCAGAGTCAGCAAATAATGCACGACGTGGAATTCTCTGGGACGACATTCGTAGAACATGTCCAAGCCGCCGAAGTCGATGTTTCAAGATGGTGACGCCAATTGGATTATCGTCCCTGCGCCCGAACACACGATGCCGAACCTCTGCATTACTAACAGTGTTGTCACTTGATATCAGCAATCCTCCATAGACAACGATGATCAAACACAGAGGGTCTTCCAACATCATCAACTCGGAGAGGCCAGGTTTCACAAGCAGAGCAAAACTGCTCTCACCAACGCGTTGTAGATTCGACCTTTTAGAAACCCCACTAACTCACGAACGCGCCAAAGATTGCCCAGATTGGCATAAGCCGCTCTGGCTTTCACTATACGTGCATCGATCTCATCACTCACGCCACCACCAGTACTTATGCAGCTAATTAGATACACGAACTTCTTGACTACTTCAACCTGCTCACCACTTAGAAAGAGTAAAGGATCAGGGTCCTCCCAGTCTTGCAAAAGTACTTTACATTTCAATGGTGAAAATCACAGACCATGACTACAGACACTAATTGCCAACTGATTAAGTGCGGATTGCATAGCTTGGGCATTATCGCACAGTATGACAATAACATCCGCACAATCAAGGTCGAAAAGTCTTTTTCCAGGCAACAGATTCACACCATCATTACCTGCATCCATCAGAGCTGTTTCAAGAACGTCATCGATAGCAAAGTTGAAGAGGAATGGTGAGATTGACAAAACCTGTCTAAACCCACTGCTTGGATGGAACAATGGAGAAAGGTGATTGTATGCCCTCACTCTGCCTGAGATGTTTGCATATAGGGCTTTTAAGATTTTAATAAACTTCTCAGGCACACCCTTCTTCACTAGACAACCCCAGAGAACAGTCCTGTCTAACGAAGTGAAGGCGGCCCTGATGTCAAGAAACACTATGATTTTTGGCCCGTAATAAATATGACGGTGTTCTAACATTTGGCAGAGGGTGAAGATATAATCAAAAGATCCTCGACCAGAAAGAAAAGCAGCCTGCTCCTTGCGAGTCAATTCTTCTCCACTTTACTCGCCATTTTCATGAAGTCATGTAGTTGCAACCAACGCTCATCTATACTTTTCGATGGGATGGTAGCTAGCCTAGAAGATAGCTCGGTTCGATACTTACTTGCAAGAGAATTTGCAACCATTTCTCTGACATCAATCCGTTGATGACGAACAATTTGTTGGCCACTGAAAAGTAAGGTAAGATTGGCGCAAACAAGGGCATGATCAGAATCCAGTTGGGTACTCCAAAACGAGGGGAAGTCTTGTGCACAACCACGCCAGCGGTAGCTGATCGCGATGTGATCAATTTGAGTCCAGGCTTGAGATGCAGAGGGAGGACGCCAGGTGGCACACCGGCGATGACTGTGCCGGAAGTTAGTGCTAGACAGAAACAGATTGTGGTCTGTGCACAGTTGCAGCTAACGGTCCCCGTTATCTGTCCTGCGACCAACAAATCCCCATCGGCCACCTAAACGACTCTCTTCTGTGCCTAGACGCCCGACCTGTGCATTCAAGTCTCCGGCTAATACTACAATATCTGTCGAACGCGCTTTCTGGAGAAGAACTGTTAACTGGTGGTAAAACTCATCCTTGATTGCATCCGGGCTGCAATCTGTCGGAGCATAGGCGGAGATGACAAAAAACATCGTTTCTCATGCCGATTTCTTCTCACTTCAATGGAACTTTCTAATCTAACAGCACATAACCGACTGTTAATGGGGATCCAGTCGATTAGTGCTGCCTCAGCTCTAGCGTTTAGTGAGACACCAACGCCAGCAAGACCAGACGAAGATGACACAGAGTCCCCGGATAAACGCACGTAAAACAAGCCTTTTAAAACGACAGATGGTGAGCAAATTTTAGTACTTCACTAGAGTTTGAATACGGGTCTCAGATAGACAACAAACGTCGATATTAAGACTTTCTAAAAACATAACCAGCCCTAGTTGTATTAGTATGCGAACGTTGAAGGAAGCCAGTTTGAATGGTGTACATGGTTTTAGAAAGACTGATTCGGTATTCGTATTCGTTGGAACCATTCACTTTCGACCAGACAGTAACACGAGATCGTTTGGATAGAACAGAGTTTTCACCATAAGCGAGCTGCTGTATAAGTTGAAAAACAAGGATACACAAAATAGGAATAAAAGAGAGTGAATAAGAGACGTGGAAAAAATAATAACAATGTGAATTGTCTGACTTTTAGTCGAAGCGTGAATAGTATTTTCAGTAAATATCGTCATTTCATTTTATTTGTATGTGGGCTGTGATACTGCCCGGGTGCCCACACCGAAGCAGGTGGTTTTCTTAGGAGGCCACACCCGCAGCCTTTGACCTAAAGGTCTGATCCACAAAGCATTGGAGCATCGTGAGGAGATGCAGTCCCATGGAACCCGGTGACCAACAATTAGTTCATACGCCATTTGTCTCTTCAGAGTACTGGAGCCTATGTGCACCATTGGTTTGGAATCAGGGTTTACCGAATCCCCCAGGTGAACTCACCGTGTCCACCGGTCCGGTTAAAGCGAAGGAGTTCAGCTTTTCGTCCTCTCAATTTCGCAAACAGCCCCGCCACGAGAAGACAGTGAGTAGGCTTCCCTGGCAGAGGCTGTATGTGTGGCCGTGTGAGAGCATTTCGAGAGGGAAAGCGGACTCTCCCCACTCTCGGCCGTACCAGGGCATTGAAAATTAAGCGTGGGATAGCTGTGATTCTCGGAGTTTTACTGGGAAGCCGTGGCCAGTGAAGTTCGACTATGTCTGATGTAACAGGTTGTTACTCACTGATGGCGCTGAGAGATGATCGCATTATACCGTGAACCAATAAAAGTTGGTCATGTAAACCAATGGATCCCAGCTCAGGAGTCTGAAGGTTAAGTGCTCTTCACGAAACCTCAAGATCTTGGGTTTGATTCTTGGTTGGGCATTGGATACTCACGATTAATGAGTCCTATGCTAGAACGAAACAGAAGTCCCGTTTTCCGTTATTTTTAATAGCTGTTTAAATAATGTGAGTCCTTGATATAAACTATGAAATCTGGTAATCGTGAAAATCATAACGGGGATAAAAAATTAACAACAGAACCCAGAATGACTGTTTACTATCAGTTGATATGAATTGATTGAAAGCGTTAACCATCATTGTAAAATTTATCAAATTTCTACTGACATTTTAAACCTAATATTTGCAGTTCCGAACAACACAAAGCCATGGTAATTTTACAGCTTCATAGATAGTTTGACACATATGAAGTGAACATAGCACTCCCAGTGAGGTGTAAGAACAAGATTGATTTGTCTTAATGAGGGAATTTCTTTTATTTAAAAGTTCTAGGAATTCTTCTAAACCAAAGGAACTTAGTGGATTTACATCTTATTCTCCGAAACTTGATGAGGCGAATGCAAAAACATATGAAATGAGACAAAATGTATACAAGTTTCTATGGAGATAAGGATATAGAGTAAAATATTAGTTCGTCTCTATCTAATGAATCTTTAATGAAACCGAATAAGCACTTTAAATTTTATGTCAATGCACCTATCATATAGCAATAAAATTTATTGGATGCTATGTGGGATAAAAAGTGGTTTATTAACCTATTCTCGTAAAATTGACAAAATTCGTCTTGATCCCAGTGGAACAGAAATGTTAGAAATGATGAGCACTAATGAACAATGTGAGTTGTAAATAGCTCAACGGCACTTACGTACGTGGTTGTGGCATTTCACCTAGTGGCCATTGTTCTTTTGAAGATATTGCACGTGTAGTATTCGATTGTACTATAGCAAGATAATGTGGAATTTTCAAGATTGGAGATTGAGAATTTGCACCAATTAATGCTTCTTTTTCTTTTATTGATTCTTGTTTAGAACTGTTATGATGATAATTATCAATAATACTTTTTGAATCTGTGTGACCTTTCAATGTGGCATGAGTTTTACCACCGGTTAACATCCAATAGTAATAAAGTTCCGATAAATTTTCAATACTGTTAATAAAATTATAAGCTTTTAAAATATTATTTTTGCTATCCTCCAAACTGAATAATTGAGGATGAAATTCATGTCTCTTGGGACGATTATATATTTTCTGTGTAACAGGAAAAAATAGTGATTACTGATGGGATTCATAAAAGTATTTATTCTATGAAAATAGATATGTTAGGTAACATGATCTTTGATGGCAATTAATAGCAATCGAACACACGCTCATTGTCTCATTTCGAACATAGTAGTCACATGCAATTAGCACTCAAATACTGAAGAACATACCTCGATTACCAAATGACAATATTCATCTTATGCAAAAAAAATCCAATCGACAATAACGATCCTTAATCAGATTAAATTAGTTTGATCATTTTGATTATTTACGAAGGTGTCTTGAGTTTTGTTATTTACTGGAATCTAAAACGTTTAAATGCGATCTATAACAAATGGATTCCTTGCAGCTTCTTTTATTCGATAAAGTATACGATACATTGACCTTGTCATATACTTCTGCTGAATAAATATACCAGTTAGAAAATGAACCATATTACGATAATAATCATAAGCAGCAATAAACAGCTACTGGTATGATCACTAGTGATATGTATTTTATAAGAATTAATGTTAGAATATAATTTTAACAAATATTCTAAGGTTTATGAGTACGGTCATGTATTACAATTACTATTTAAACAAAGATGTCATGTAACCTATCGCATGCAACTTCACGAAAGGTCTCTTATTATTCCCGAAAAGAGCTACAAACAGGAAGAAAAGCAAAAGTGGCTCAAATGTAGGTAATCAAGTTTATGATAGCTGAGAAGTGATAGGAAAAGAAATAAGCATAGATGGAAGAGGCAATGAGTTTGTAACACACTTTTAGTAATTGAAGTAAGGAGTATGTAAATTTGATAGGTTAACTTTAGCGATCTTTGAGGACAGTGGTTCAGAAATATTAATGAAACTGATTACCAGATTAGTTATGGTTTTGGATTTAAATATACTTTCATCTAATTAGTCAACATCAGTGATTTTCCATATGACAAGGAAAAGAAATCTTATTTTGATAGTCACAAAAGAACCATAATTTTAAAAAATCTCCACTTCCATAAACATAAGAAACCCGCTGCTATTTAAAATCAAAAATACGAGGTTAATTAGGTAAGTTTAAGACCTACTCTAGTTAGTCAAACAACTCTACCTTGCGCCATATTTTGGGACACAAACAGTTATCGTCGTTAGATTTCGCCTATAATTGACCTGTGGACTGAATTTAAATGTTGGTCTACAGAGTTGATGACAGTATTAGTCACTGAAGGAGGTGTCAAACAAGTGAATCAAACTACTCAAATAGTTATTGTCAGAACACACCTTACAATAATTTATCTTTCGAAGCTAATGATTAAGATTATGTATTGTCTACGCTTCTTTCAACTGTTATGAATATACCTCATGGATTGAGCATTTCCTCGGAAATCCCCTAGTCGACCTGGAATACGCAAACAACAGAGGTGAAGATCCCGATAGAATGCAGATTTCGCACCTCATGGCACAGTTCAGTGCAGTAATCCCTGACCTCATGGACTGTTATCAAATTGGGGGAGGTCAGACTACGGCATGTTATCAGTTGGTAAGGTCACTGACAATTGGAATAGGCCGAGTTTCGGGATGGGAACATCCTGGTTAGGGTTCATGAAATAATTATAATCTATAGTTGTAAACATTACGTGGTATGCTTCTAGACCGATTGCAGAAGCACCAATGGACTGATTATCCCTCTTTGCTAAAATCCCGAGTTCCCTTCTTATTTCTTTATTCTATTCACATTTCTTGAAAAATACTTTCTATATCTAGTTACAAAATAACACTAATACTGACATGATTTTGATTTTGTTGTTTTCAATCCTACTAATTTCCTCTCGTGCTATGTAAATATGAATTGTGGGAGCTTGGTTCGACCTACAGTCATGTTAGGTATGACTAAATAGTGCCCTTCATATTGTGCAAACTCTGCCAAACCCATCAATGATGACCAGCAGTCGAGATCTAGTTCCATATGTAGGTACATTGACCACACCATTACTTCTACTCATGTAAATATTTTGGGTACAACTAGCAACATTGGTGATTTGCACATGATTTATGCAATCTCTTTTTGAAGATGAGTTAGATAACTATCTCGTTTCACTGACTAAAAACATTGGATTTTTAATATATTTTCAACAAAAGTTAGATAGTAGCATTATTCTATAACAAAATTCTATGCTTAATATCTTATAATAACTTATTAAACAAAAATTCCTCAATCTGCATTCTTATTGAAATGAAACGAATTTGACTGGTTCAGGACAGATTGGAAAGCTACCAGAAATCTGCGTAAGCAAGCATTCTTTACATAAAGAGAGAAACTCACCCTACACCAGGGCGTTGAATATTTGTCACCACTTATGTCGGAAGATATGTAACAATTAGTTTTCAATAATTCGTTGATCTCCTTCATAAGGCATTTAGGAGTAGGTCGCTTTATTGCATCAAACCTTAAGCAGTATTGAATAAGCTGGACCAAGATGTCCAGGTCAGCAGATATACCATTCAGATGAAGTTGTAGAAATTCAGGTAATGTTGGATATTCATTTTCCTGACAAAGACCCCTCAGAAACAAGGAAATTATTTCACCTTCTTTCATATTTTCACTCCGAAGTTTAAGTAATGGATTAGTGAATTCCCTACCAAAGATTATCTCAAAAAATATGACTCCTAAAGACCATACGTCTGCTTTTATATTTCCCCAGCACTTATCAGATTTTATTGAACGTTCTGATTGACATAAATTATTGGCTTGATTGTACAAAAATAAAAATACCTCAGGAGCAGAGTAAATGAAACTGGGTAAGGTAAAATCAGCTATATTTCTCCAATCTGTAGCATAATAAATTCCGTAGCCTCCAATTTTTACATGTCCATCAGAATCAAGCATAATCATGTCAGGAGTCAAGCACCAGTGCACTAAACCATTGTCACTCATAAAAGATAAGGCAGATAGACATTCACTAAAACGTTGTGATAACCAATTAACGTCAGTGACGGGACCACTGAAGTTAGAAAAACTTGTGCTGTAGTACTCACAGACAACTGATAGTACTTCTCCCTTCTCTCTGACAACATCGAGATATTGACATAAGTTATGATGTTTGATGTGTAATAATCGACGAAACCTTGCATAGCATGTCACTGACACGGGTAATCTGGGCAAACCATTAACATCCATCTCAGTAAGACCAGACAACGACATCGGAATTTTTATTACACCTATTGGAAATCCCAACGAAGAGCTGCTGAGAGGTGGTTTTTCCATGAGCTGAAACTAGAATTTAAGGAAGAAGTAAATATTTATAAAGCATGGAAGTAAACAAATTTTTAACTTGATATACCACTTCCAAAATACCAATATTTAATGTTCCTTTCAAACGACCAAATAAAACTAGGCTGATTTATTACAAGTTAGGTTGAAAGTTAGTGCTAATACATAACTGTCACTAACATTTACTGTGAATATTTTGAGTTACCTATTCTCTTCAATACAATAGTAAGTTCAGAAATGCTAAATTACAAGGAAATTCCATAATAAGAAACTGACCAATTTATGTCCACCGAGCAACCACACGAAGGAAGTGCTTAAAAATACTACAGATGCCAGAGTCCCTCATTGGTGATTTTCAAACGTAACTGCTATTTTAACTTGGAGGTCGAGCTAACCTACATTGGTGCCCCCAAATGCCCTGGTACGGCCAAGGGTGGGGAGAGTCCAATCTCCCTCTCCAAATGCTCTCACATGGCCAGCGAATATATAGCCTCTGACAGGGAAGTCCTACTCACTGCCTTCTCACAGTGACAGTGTTGTTTACGAAAGTGAGAGGACGAAAAGCGAATGTCCGGCGCTTTAACCGGGTTGGTGGACATGGAGGGTCCACCTAGGGGAGTTGGAAAACCCTGATTCCAAACCAGTGGTGCACATGGGCTCCAGTATCCTGAAGGAACAAATGGCATACGAATCAATTGTTGATCACCGGCTACCATGGGACTGCATCTCCTCACGATGCTCCTCTGCCTTGTGGATCAGACATTCAGGTCAAAGGCTCCGGGTGTGGCTACCTAAGACAACCACCTACTTCAGTCTGGGCACCTGAGCAGTATCACAGCCCTCACACAAATCGAATGAGATTTGTGAGGCGCATATGTATCTGGTGCTTCCTTGTACCAATATTTATGTGTTTAAATAAATAAAATAAAAATAAATAACCTACCGTGATGACAAGATTAGGTTATATAGACGGAAACGATTGTTCCTTCACGTTTTATTGTCCCGGATACGTCAGTCGAATAGCAAGCAGATCAAAAATATAAAACGTAGAGTCCGGTGGCAACGTTTTACTGCCAACTATACTGGAATCCAACCAGAAGCAAAGCATTTTTAGTGGATGGCTAGTATATCTTGAATTATTAAAATATAATGGGGTTAAGAATGTCAACTAAAAAAATTGAGCATCCCACCTCACCACAAAGATTTATGGTGCGGGTGCCCATGGTTTAGGAGTACGGAGCTAACATATCTAACAGCTCCCACAACGAAGATAGTATGTAACCGATCTCAAGTAGCTGTTTCGTTGAGTCATCAGTCACGTTCCCAGGCCATCAGGGCCACCAATCAAGCCTCTTTAGATACATCAAGAGATTTATTTCCAAGGCGTTAGCTACCGAAAAGTAACAACTGCCCACATACGTTCAGACTCAGTCAAGTGTATCATTTAGTTCAGTTTATTACTCACACTATCATTGCTAGCAACTTGACTATTAATCCATGTGGTCCAATCGATACAGTCCACCACGGAATCTTTCTCCGTTAAATCGGATGCTAGCACAAACGCTTCACACAGTCGCTTTCAAGTTTGAAGTAGAAAAATGTATGCAAAAGGAACCCAGTTTGCATAAATTGAGGTGGTTGTGGATTACAACTCGGTTGATAACATTATTTCACAAATTATTATAATGATTAACCAGAAAAAATATGTAGTGCTAAACAGGTAAATTAGTAATTAGATCCAAATGACCCATCCTTAATACCTGACGGTACATGGCTGAATAAGTCTTAGGATCATTATGCACTTAAGATTTATTGTATCTGAACAGAAATGTTGGTACAAGGGGGCACCAGATACATATGCGTCATACTGTGTGAGGGCTGTGATACTGCCCGGGTGCCCACACCGAAGCAGGTGGTTTTCTTAGGAGGCCACACCCGCAGCCTTTGACCTAAAGGTCTGATCCACAAAGCATTGGAGCATCGTGAGGAGATGCAGTCCCATGGAACCCGGTGACCAACAATTAGTTCATACGCCATTTGTCTCTTCAGAGTACTGGAGCCTATGTGCACCATTGGTTTGGAATCAGGGTTTACCGAATCCCCCAGGTGAACTCACCGTGTCCACCGGTCCGGTTAAAGCGAAGGAGTTCAGCTTTTCGTCCTCTCAATTTCGCAAACAGCCCCGCCACGAGAAGACAGTGAGTAGGCTTCCCTGGCAGAGGCTGTATGTGTGGCCGTGTGAGAGCATTTCGAGAGGGAAAGCGGACTCTCCTTACTCTCTACTGTTTCAGGGCGTTAGGGGGCATGCACTTAACAATTATGAAGTGAATTAAAACACTTGACGTTCAACTACCAGGTTGCAAATATGAATTTAACTTCGGTTTATGCAGCGGTTATTATTACCTTAAACGGTGTAGATTAAAGCCAAAGTATAAAGCTGAACTTGATTGCTGATCAAAATGAGCACGGACTTCTGGAAAGCTGCAACGTCTATAAGTCCACCCGAAAATTGAGACTCCTAAAAGTAAGGGAGCTGTGAGAATTTATTGATTTAATAAAAGATTTTAAAAGCTCGTGAGACATATGTTGCTTTGGAGAACTGGACCTGTCATTAAGTTTGATAGTGTGCCATTTTTCTGTAGCACAATTTTTTATGACAACTTTACGCCATATCTTTGTAAACCAGAGCTAACAGAAAATCCATAGAGAGCTAAGCTAGGCGTCATTTTTGGCACGTCATAATGGGAGTCTATTGAGCAATATGTCAATAATCTAAACCAAGAAAACAGACAGAATTCCTCTTTAGAACCAAGACTGATATTAATAAAAGCAACGCGAAAGCACCTTAGTTCTTAACGGACTAAACACTACCTAAAATGAAATTGAGTGAAGAACTTTTTGAAGACGACGTAATGTTTTGGAAAGAGGTCTAAACCAAGATGGATTAGCTTTGTGGTAATATCCTGCTCGACTTCGAGAATGAGATAGCAGTGCATCAACATATAACTCCAAGGGAAAGTAGTCCATCAGTGAGATAATGTAAAACACACGTACAACAAATAATTCTTTATTGATAGTCGTCAGTGGGAAACTATTTAAATGTCTTGGTTACCCAAGATCTAGAATTGTATGCTAACTTTGATGAAAATGCCGTCAGAGCCAACCTTTCACCAGCAACCTTGATGAGTATTTTTGCCGCTCAGAGAGTGTGCGTGTTTACATAATTTTACAGTTTTGTACAACCTCAATGAACAAAAGAATGGCATTTTCTCCTTCATTCTAAAAGAACGTTCATTTGAAAAGCATTCAAAGTTTAAAAATACTGCATCAATGCCTCTTGAAATAAATAATACTCAGATACGACCTCAGAATGACCAAAATCACAGAATCTCACTTAGCATTCCCTGAAACAATTACCTAACTTCAACTTCAATACGAAACGTAGGGGGGACATTCGCAGGTCAGATTTTCGAAACAGCTGAACACAAAACTACTAGACTAAATTTGACCCCTTAATTTTATGGGATGCCCCCAAACGCCCTGGTACGACCGAGAGTGTGGAGAGTCCAATCTCCCTCTCCAAATGCTCTCACATGGCCAGCGAATATATAGCCTCTGACAGGGAAGTCCTACTCACTGCCTTCTCACAGTGACAGTGTTGTTTACGAAAGTGAGAGGACGAAAAGCGAATGTCCGGCGCTTTAACCGGGTTGGTGGACATGGAGGGTCCACCTAGGGGAGTTGGAAAACCCTGATTCCAAACCAGTGGTGCACATGGGCTCCAGTATCCTGAAGGAACAAATGGCATACGAATCAATTGTTGATCACCGGCTACCATGGGACTGCATCTCCTCACGATGCTCCTCTGCCTTGTGGATCAGATCTTTCGGTCAAAGGCTCCGGGTGTGGGCCCCTAAGAAAACCGCCTGCTTCAGTTTGGGCACCTGGGCAGTATTACAGCTCTCACACAAATCGCTTGTGATTTGTGAGGCGCATATGTATCTGGTGATTCCTTGTACCATTATTTGTGTTTAAATAAATAAATAGATTTTATGGGATAATAAAATGATCCATTGTTATTCCGAGAAATTTTCGAGGCATGCACCGATTCCCTGTACAAATTAGTTCCACTAATTCCCAACACTGTAATACCTTACATTCTGTGCTTTATAATATGATTTGCATTATAGTCACATGAGTCCTTGATTGCCAAGATTCAAACGCTATTGATTGCTCATTTCATCATATCCAGAGGATATACCATTTCAATCTTACAAAGGCTGTAAATTTTAGTCTGGGAGGGTTTTATTTAGCTTGAATATACCTTTTGTGCTGAGGTGCGACGAGCGGTATGAGAGAGTCTGGAAGGAAAAATAGCTTGTTGGCAAGCACATAGAGTGCACTTACTATCAATAATGAAAGTAACTGAAAATAATTATTGATAATGAAAGCGTTAGATTGAGACAATTTGATAATCAAGACTAGAAGTTGATAGCACCCAGTTCCGAACACCTTTGAATTTCACTCCCAACATTCAAACTAGATATCGCGATCGTGACCGGTTCAGTGATTTTCAAGAGTTGGAATGCATCACATGTTTCCGTCACTCATTTTGGCAACCAATCAGAGGAACATACATTATTCCCGGCATCACCGTAAGCCAATAAGTATGCCGCGTCTTGTTCTGTACGTTGCTTCGCTGAGCCTGGAGTTTCGTGGAAGTCGCTGTTGTTTGAAATAACATGGAATGGTTTATTTTGAATACATTTGTATTACATATTTGAACTCATACGAACTGCATTAAATTCCTCATAGTTTTCGACCATGTAGGAAAGTGTTGAGTTGATTGTGTCGTAGATTTCCGTTGTCCGAATGGCAATGAATAGATTCGTTGTCCCAAAAGTTGACTTTTCATAATATCGTATCATATTAATGTTAAGAATAATGGCGTTTCCAGAAATAAACTGTCCTAATTCATGTTGAGATATTTCTCTGCCCGCTTTTCACTCCTGCTACTTTTTCGCGTTCATTTTAGTTACTCAGAGCCATCGTCATTGCCAACAAGCCCTCTATTATTATTATTATTATTAATGGCTTTATTCAATATTATAATCTGGTACAATATAGAATTCTCAGTATTCTAGTATGTCGTGAGTGCAGCCTGAATCATGTTACTCGGCGTTCTGTGGTTTTCACACTTGACTTACAGAGGTGCTATGCAGGCTCCTGAAAACACGCGCTGCTCCCATAAAATTCTCCAACTTCGATGTGGCAAATTGCTAAAACACTACTACCAACTAATCAGTGTTGTGCTATGATGGTCTCAGATGAAGGAAATGTTTAGTTTACCTCAAAGGTTATAGTTAAATAAGCTATGAATACCTGGAATCACTCGAGCTCGTGGGAAAATCCTTGTAATTGTGGCAAACTGCATGGCCTTGAGATGCCCTAATTATTTTGATTTGACACTCTTAATCGGATATTAGAGTTCCATGGGGACTCAGGCTATTTCACCATGGTCATTTACTGAGACAAAAGGAGAAATGTTGGAACGTAGCCATCAGCCTTGGCACAGCAAATATGATGAAACGCTACAGGTCAATAAGAAATAAACGTATTGGTACATTCCAGGCAGCTCAGGGAAAATATAAAATGCAGTTGGCCCGATCTGTAATTATGCAGCCGAAGAGACTGTTTTCGTAAATGAATGACAGAACAAGAATTTATGATCAGATTCCCAACCTAATTACGGAAGGTAGATCTCAAATGGAAGAGGAAGACCAGGACAAAGAGGAGGCCGTGACAAACTATTTTCAGACAGTTTGTATTCAGAAGCCACTTCTAGACGAAGGACTAGACGTAAATACAAAATCACGAAATCCGTTGCTCGTACTAAGAGCTCTTAGCACTTCAGACACGGAAAAATCAACAGGACTGGATGAACTAAACTCTAAAATCCTGAGACGAATTACACCATTTATTGCAACTCCACTGACTATGATATTCCAGATGTCACTTGGCCCAGGTGAGTTACCTACGGAAAAGGATGCAATTGTTACTCCAATACAGAAAACCGGATCAAGGCTACCTCCATCGAATTGCAGACCTGTCAGTCTCCCCAGAGTCATGGTTAAAATAATGAAAAGAATAATCGAAAAGGCCATATTGACATTCGTGGAAACCAATAAATTATGAAATAGCAAACAACATGGTTTCAGAAACGGATTATCTTGTACAACGAACCTCTTCATAGTAAGAGATCAATGAACAGAGGCTACAGATAGTGGAAAATCGGTAGATGATGTCTAAGTAGACTTTAGTAAAGCCTTTGATAGGGCGCCGAAAAATAGACCTCTCTTAAAGCTGGAAAATCTCTGAGTTTGCGTACCTCTCCCGAAATGGATGAAATAATTATTTTAGGTCTTAGACAGAAAGTAAGGATGAATTTCCGATGCCCCTCCACCAAACCAGCAATTACTGGAGTACCTTAAGGCTCTGTCCCAGGTCCTTTATTTTTAAAGTGTATGTAAACAAACCTCCAAGAACATTTTAGTCCCCGACGCTACAACTCGCTGGTGACGTAAAATCCATGCAGGAGATAACAGGAGACGCGAATTGATACTCACATCAGACGGACTTACATGTTCTAACTAAATGGTCTTAAAGGTGGCTGATGTCTATCAACGTGGTCATGTGTCTACGTGCTCATTTGGGAGGCAGAGGTGAATAGGAACAGCACAGGGAAGAGCCAAGGCCTGTAGTCCGGTTTCACAATGATCTTGAGGAGACAGTTAGCCCGTAATGACATTGGGCCTTAACCACGTGACCTTTGAAGCTGAGCATTTAATTACCGAAAAGAATTATATTCAACAGTTGGCACGAACAGAAGGTTGACTATGGAGAACGCGGGACATTATTTCAATTCAATCGGATGGCAAGGCTCGGCCTCGCAGACATGATTATTCAGTATAACCTGTTTTCATTCACATTAAATATATTGTAGTGACCTACTTCTATGATGAGAACGCGATTAGTGTAATGGGATCAATTATTATCATAACCAATTGTACCAGTGATTGTTTTACTATACTTGCCTGTTTAACTGTACCAAAAGCACTTTTCCTTCCGTTGCCCATTTTGCTTGTACGAACGAGCTTGCACTCCGCTGTTTTGCCTGTAATCTTTGGCACGTCTCAGTATTCTTTTGATACCACGAGATCGCCAACAAATATATCTTATCTGGACCAATAATAGCCTTCTGATTTTTGGCCTACCGAGGGATCCAAGTCGATATCTGGCACGTAATCTTATTGTAGTGGCGATCATAGTCGATCGCTACTTGACGCCATCTACAATATTACTCCATCTTTAGCCTAAATGTGTTCTTTGCAAACGCCCATGAGTCAATATGGACGATTATGTGATTCCCAAGTAAGATCTTATGAATTAAGTATTCATATCATGATACATCTACAATTGCAGAATAAGGTCTGTTGTTATAATGGTACTAATAACGAAGTAGACTATAATTCTACAAGCCATCGTCTTAAGACCACAGCCAACTGTCGCTAGGTCGCAGCTAAGAGGTTTAGAGACCCACGGGCTTTAAGACGGGCGTTTACCGAGTTAGATACTAATATGTTCACCACAGTATAAACAAACTAACTTAAACCAAAACTGAAATGGTGAATTCAAGGTTCAAACCCCTGGTTAAAAGGTGACTCGGAAAAATTATCCTGGGAAACATACAGAAGGCAGCTACTCGTAAAATTCGAGAACTCCAAAGTTAATTAAACAAGAAGTGACTTCAGAGGCTAGGCCAATTTTTCTGCTCTACAGAAGACTGAGTGGTGATATGATTTTGACGTATAGAATATCAGAAAATGATTCTGGATATGATGTATCGCGCTTTTTTCTTCTAACAGATCGGGAAACCTCAGTGTAAATATTGGGTGAGTACGAAAAGCAAAGAACAAGCCTGATATGTGGGCGAGAATGACAATGATTGATTTGCTGAGTCAGACATTAGATAGGATGACATGTGTTATATATATTCCCCTATCCTTATTATGCATTGACTGTTCCTTGGTGTTGGATTTTGATGTGAAAATATATTGACGTCATATTCAGGTTAATCTCGTGTTCTTGATCTGAGTTGTGTTCAAATATTAGTCTTTTAATATGATTGTGTTGAAGTACTGTAGAATAGACACTGGGTGGGAATCTAGTGTTTTGAAACCATCGAATTCCATTACCTTACTGTTCGGCTGTATCTACCAGAAACCTAACTTGGCAATAGGTGAAATAGCAGTATTATCAGAGGTATTCACACTAGCATCATCCCTTCCATTCACAGGCAAGCTCATTTGTGGTGATTTCAACATGCCTGAAATTTCTTGGTTTCCAGTCAAAGCTCCGAAACGTTATGAATCATTTATTGAATGTCTAGAACTAGGACAATGGACTGAATATGTTAGTAGCCCTACCAAACATCAAAATATCTTGGACTTAGTCTTTACCAGTGGCCTCACCCCCAATACTGTGTATATTGGAAAAAAGTTTCCAGGTAGTGATCACAACACTGTCGTATGTAG